TTATTTTGACGCCTCTGTCTTTTTCGTTCACGTCTCTCTTCCTTCTCCCCCTCCCTGCTCCGCTTTCTTTTCTCCTTTCCTTTCTGGGTCTCACACTGATCCCGTTCCTCCCACCTCTTGAGTGCTACACACAGCCATAAGCCACTGTGTCTGTTCCTCTAGGTCAGTAGTTCTAGAACGGCAGCATTGGTGGATTCTTTCAGTTAACGCTTTGGAGATGCTCCTGTGTCCGCTCCGTGAGTGCTAGGATTCCATGTCTATGCCACCAAGTCTGGTTCCAGTTCCACTCGAGGATTTAAAAAAAAAAATATCCACAAATTTCAGGAATTCAGATGTAGATATCTTCAATTAATTAATTGTGTGTATGTGTGTGTCTGTGCACTGTCGTCCCCCCCCCCAACACACACTCACGTATGTGTGCCTCACGGGCATGTGAAATCAGAGGACCATTTGTGGGAGTCACTTATCTCCTTCCACAATGTGAGTCCTGGTGATCAAATTCCAGTCAAAGCTTGGCAGCTGCTGTGTGCCTTCAGCAAGGGGCCATTTGTGTCCAGGTGCCAGAGGCTTCCAGGTTACCTGGAGTATCTTGGACCATCCAGTTAAACTGTAGCCTTGGAAATGGAGAGCAGGCACACCTTTTCTGGATGCCTTCCAGTATCGCCCTATGAGTTCAATACTGAGCTTCTGGGCCCTTTTTCTCAGGCTGGCTTTGTCTGCAGCTCTGTCCCACGGCTCTCCTCTCACACGGCTCTCCTCTGACACGGCTCTGCTACCTCTGCTTCACCTTGGCAGAAATGTGCTGGCTCCCGTAGATGAAAAAGAGTGTTAAGTAATTAACCTCGTGGCTGTTTTAATGATTGTGTTTCATTATTACATCATTTTGCAGGGCTCCAGGTTGACTTCTCTCTGCCCGTCTGTTTGGATTGATTTGCTCATTTTTAGGAATCAGTACTGTTGTTATCTTTGTGATATCTCAGGCAACACTTAATCTTCATGATGCTAATTTTCTTTTTGTCAAAAAAATGAAACATTGTTCATAGTCCAATAAAGGTACCAAAATAATGATGAACTGCCAGGTTACATAATAATTTATAATAATGAAACATCCTTTTTCTCTAATAGTGAAATACCGACTTACTGGTCACTGCTGACTTTTTTTTTTTTTTGTTGTTGTTCCACAATGTAGGCTTTATATTTAAAATCAATTAATTTTTGGGCCTTTGACAGTTCCTGCCAACTCCTAATAAGTACATATTTTTTCTGACATAGGACGTGGGTGGGTGAGACGTTTCTCAGAAAAAACTGAACCCAATACTCTGCTGTTATCATGACCTTAGGAAGCAACAACATGGAGAACTCAGTCTTGGCTCATTAAAAATCTCATTTTCTGATTTTTTATTTTATGCAAACAGGGTCACTGCTCAAATTAAGTTTAAGAATAGATGTAACAGACAAATGAGTTCATTAAATAGCTAGAATGCTTCTCCACAAAGGGAAAGAGGGGAGGAGAATTAGAGGAGAGAGAGGTAGATAGGGAAGCTCAGGCTGTCGACAAAAAGGTGGAAGAGAGTCGAGGGAGGACGCAGTGGGGAAGACACGGCCAATCTGGTCAAAACTTCTGCTTAAACGTTTGGCCAATGGTATTAACTTAACTGATGAAGGAAATTCTAGACCTTCGTTCTAACCCAATATTTGTCTTGTAAGTAGATATCTTTATGTATCATATGGTATGAAGAGACCAAGTGAGATACTATTCTTTACAGCCTGGGAAATTCAAACTAGGGCCTCACAAATGCTAGGCAAGTGCTCCCTCACCTAAACATGTCTCCGGCCTTCTTTTATTTTGAATTTTGAGACAAGGTCTCACAAAATTGCCCCAGTTGCCCTTGAACTTGAAATCCTTCTGCCTCAACTTTCTTAGCTGTGATTACAAACCTGTAAACCACCAGGGCTGGCTTAATACTCTATTTTAAACTCTAGAAAGACTCGGTATCTGTCTGAAGTCTATGAATGCTCTGTAAAGTTGTTGTATTTTTTGTGATAGGTCAACCTACAGTCTAGGCTATGCATCCTCTGTAGGGCGAGGGTGCCAGTAATCGAGTGCTTTTAGGGTGGGAAGAAGGGAAAGGAGGGAACCCCACCTACCTCTCACTGGCTGGCCTTCCTCCTCTGGTAGCCATGCTCCTGGCTGGGAAGGAGGGTGGGGAGAGGTGCTGCAGGAGCCACAGCACAGCCAACAGCCTCGAGTGCTGTTGTTTCTCTTTCTGACCCTGAGATCCTTTTCTAAATCCAGCAGACATCTGACTCCCGGCGTGATCATCACACTCCTGGTCAGAGCTGCAGCACACGAGCTGGCTGGCACTGCTGCTGGGAACTGTGACTCACTCCTTTAGGTTCTCCCCTGGTGCGGAAGGAGTCTCCGAAGGGGAAAAAGAGCAGTCTGTCAGGTGAGCTCAGCATTGTCAGCATCACCAGCTTCCTGAGAGACCAGGCAGTGTAAGGGAAAAGAGCACCTGTCAGACTCCTGGAAAATCACTGTCTCATGTGACCATGAGAAGGTTAGTAAAGCTCTTAGAGCCTCAGTTTTCTCAGTGAAAGGTAAAAAAAAAAAAAAATCAATCCCGAAGTAGCACTAAAACGTGTATGCCCAATGTATGGGCAATATTATGCAGTGGTTGGTTTGAAAATTAAATGTCCCCCACCGCCTCATGAGTTAAATGCTGTGTCCCCCAACTGGTAGCACTCTGAAACTACTTATTTACTCCGACAGGGTGTTCACCTACCTGCCTCTGCCTTCTGAGTGCTGGGATCAAAGTAGTACTCCACCATGCCTGGTGTCTGGCAGTAGTCTTTGGGGGTTGTGGAAACTTTAGGAGGTGGGGTTTAGTTGGAGGGAGTAAATTACTGGAGGCATGCCTCGGAAGGCTGACTCTTGTCTGCTCCCTTGTCTCTGGTTCCTGTCTGCATGAGATGAGATGTTGCTCACACCCCACCACGGTCTTCTGCCCAAGTGTGTAGAGCCAAGGATCTGAACCGAAGCACCAGAAACCTCAAGCCAAAGCAATTCCTCTCTGAGATGTTTGTACTGCTCATCCTTTTGTACATTCTGCATGTGCAGATCAAGACAGAGAAAAATTAGAATACTGTATACATCATATAAGGCTTTAGGTGTTTATGGTCTCTATACTTGAGGAAATACTGGACATGACTACAATATATCAGAAAAAGAAGGAATGACTGGTGAACTAGATGACTACTCACTAGATCATTTATTCACTTTTACGAGTTTGTAGTTACTTCACTGCGAGTTCTGTGACTTGCAGTGAAATTACTAGGATATGTAAGCACATTGTCCTCAAAGAATTTGTTACTTAGAAGGAAGGAGTGTACATAAACAAGGTTGGATGTAAAATGTGTACAGAGAAGAAATGCCATGGCCATTCAGAACAGACTGATCCTGGAGGAGGGCTTACTAGAAAGAAGGCAAGACCAGCCAGTTTCAACTTGTGTTGAGTCCCCATTATGAGACATCTCCAGAGATTTGCATGTTCAACAAGGACCTGCAGACAGAAGAGGCTGAGTCAAAGCACAGAGGCAGGAACCTGTAGATAAGGTGGGGGTAGAAACAAGTATCTCAAGTGGAAGCCACATCCTAACAAAGAAGGAAGTCATTTTTAAGAAGTGCCCAAGTATGACATCATGGGTATTCTCATACATAAAGCTAAAGCTTATTTTTTTTCCTCTTGCAGATAATTGATGCAATACATCCCATGGAAATCTTTAAGTTGATTAAAATTCTTCTGAGAATTTTTTTTCCCCATTTGAAGATTCATGCATGGATCTTTTCTGAAGAATGAGATCAGTCTTTTTATCTAAAGAAGACCACAGAATCCTTCATTTTCTTTGTTTTTTTCTTTTACTCCTTCATCTTCCATCTTAAAAAATAAAATTGAACTTTGTAACAAGCTTATTTGGAACTGGAAGCTTTTAGAAAAATGTTAATGTAATAAAACACAGTGACTGATGTTACTCTGTCAGTCTGATTTACTGGTACCAAAGGAGGAATTTCAACAGCTGATAACTGAGGGAGACCGTGGGGGAAATGTATCCCTAATCCTCTAAGTCACCACTACTCAAAGATGTCGGTTTCTGTCAGACGTGTTTGTGTGTGTCTCTCACATCCTTGACCTCAACAGAGGATTTACTCAGAGCGTTAGCTATTTAAAATCAGAGAACTGAAAGGGCACCGGGAACACTCGCATTGCGAGAGGTGTGGAAGGAAACAGTGCCCACGCAGGACGAGGGGAGAGAGTGTGTGGACCTAGAAGTTCAAAAGAAGGAGGGGTTTATCTGTGAATCAGGAGGGCAAGGCACTGAGGAGAGGCAGCTGCCTGGAAGAGCTGCTTCCTCAGAAGGGCAGAGCCCGGTGGGGCTGGAATCCAGACTTGGATGATGCGGGTGTTCTGAGAACCATCGTGTTGGCTGGCAGAGACAGGAGGAGGTGGCAGCCAGAACTAACTGCTGGTAGAAACAACCAGAATTTTGGGAGTGGAGAGGTACATCTGGGCGACACTTCCTGGGACAGTAGGCACATCGGAGGGGATTAGCCTGTTCTGTCTCTCTCCTGTTGCCTTCCGGTCTCTCACTAGTGTCCCCAAATGACAGAAACTAGCCAAGGTCCTTATGGCAATGGCAGTGTGGCTGCAGATCTCGCCTCAGTATCTCCAGGCCCAGGATAGAGGGGTGGATAGAGCCTGAAAGTGTAAATAGCCAGCACCACATGTATACAATTCACCAGACTCACCGACCACGCATTTTCAGATCCGAGCCTGAAGGTCTCTTTTAGAGGCTTCAGAATAGGCCCATAAGTCTTCACTTTTGAAAAATAGCATCAAATTGTTGTACCCAGAGTCCCCCAAAGACCACCAAGAGACCGAACCCGATGCAAAAGCACAGAGTCTTTGTATTGTTACAAGTTAACTCGGGACTCTCCATCGGTAGGACGCAGCAGCAGAGCAGGCGAGACCCTGAGGAGCAATGGGGCAGGGTTTTTAAAGCAAGAGGGACTTGGGGTCTACAGACTACATAGGAACAGACTCAGGATTGGCTTACATGAGTGGCAATCATGTTAGTAACTTTTAATTGGCTAGGGTTAGTTGGGGGGTTACAGTTATCCATTTCGGGCAGGCCTGGACAAGTCCCAGGCTTTGTCCTTGAGCTGCCATAGAGGCTGGCTGGCCTAGCCTGTATTGACTGTGGGGGCTGCTCAGTGGCCCAGGCTCTGTCCTTGACCCATGCACATAGCTCTGAGTTGGTGAGGGGTCCCAGGCAGTCAACTACTGGCTGAACCTTGAGCAGTCTGAGTAAGTGCAGAAAGGGAGCTACTGCAAGGACCATGTCTTTTGTTCATGGCCCTCCCAGAAACTGCTTGCTCAAGTCTCAGGAAACTGAAATTGAGGCCTGATCTCTGAGAAAAGACTGAGCAGCCTGTTATGGCGTCTGCTTGGTCCTTTCAAAATAATCTGATGGTGTCTTCAAACACTCTTTCAAAATGCTGTTTCTCTCTGTCTCTGTCTTTCTGTCTCTCTTTGTGTGCGCATGTGAGTGTGTGTGTGTGTGTGTGTGTGTGTGTGTGGTGTGCTGGCACCTGTGAACATGGAGGCCAGAGGTTGACACTGGGTATCTTCTTCAAGGCAAGTTCTCTCCCTGAAGCTGAGGCCCACAGATTTACCCAGTTTTTCTAGGCACCTTGCCCGGTGGACCTGGCTTTCCCCTCTGTAGGCAGACTACTATGTGTGCTTGACTTTTATATGGGTGCTGAGTCTCTGAACTGGATGTTTTCATCTCATTTGCCTGGTAAGCTCTTATTCCCTGAGCTGTCTTCCTAGTACTGATGTCTTTCAGCTGAGTCCCTGAATCAAGTTACAACAAGAGTTTAGGAAGAACCCAACGCTAGCTCAAACAGCCCCATGACAATTCACTTTAAAAATTTCCATTAAGAAATGCTTAAAATGTGAACTCCAACACTCAGGAAGCAGAGGCAGGAAGGTTGTCACAGATTTGAGGGCAGCCTGATCTACATAGTCAGTTCTAGGACAGTCAGGGCTACATGTCAAGACTGCTAAAAGTTACAAAACTTAAAAAATGTCCCCATAGCAGCTTCAAAACATTTGAACATTTTGACCCTCTTAATATCCAATATCTGTCATTTTCCCATTCATATACACTTACTACAGTGATTTAGTACTAGGAAAAGTATTTAATTTTCACAAGAATTTGTATACTTTCCTTTATCAGTGCAAAATAAAAATACATTGATTTCTACTTGTTTTGGCTGCTGGGCAGATTAGAATTATTTAGTCTAATCCCAGCAAAGCCTTCCCTTTTAACCATCTTATTTTTATATTTTTCAATTGATGACATAAATACATACATATATTAAATAAATGATATCATAGTTTTCAAAGTATTTTTGGATATAGTACATTAAGGCTTATCACTAATTAACTCAAGTCATCGAGAAGGCCAAGCTGCTGTTCTGTAGGGGAGGCATGGGAAGTCACTGTTCTTGCCTATGAACTATTCTTTGAAAGACTGCACATCACTAATATGCCTCCAGGCTTCCGCATATTCATAATCCACATGGAAAGTCCATTTGAAACTTTCTATCTTACCGAAATCCTCTATTTAATTTGATTCATTCTCTCTCTCTCTCTGTATATGTGTGTGGGTGCACACATGTCATGCTGTGCATACAGAGGTCAGAGGACAAACTTTAGAGTTAATCCTGGGTCCTGGGAGTCGAACAGAGGTTGCCAGGCTTCATGGCAAGTGCCCTTGCTCACTGAGCTACCTCATTGGACTTACAAAATCCTTTTATGTATCTACATTATTTCTGCCACTTTAAAAATCATGTCTTGGAAACTTGGGATTTATGGCAAGACATATTTTTTTCTGAGAGTGAGTGATCACAGAAAATTTCTGCCATAGACTGATCTAAATAAATATGCTGTCTTTGTCTTGTTTTAAGTAGGCTTATTGCAGAGACATTCAATTATTTTTTTTTATCTTAGTGGAATTTAATTTATAAGCACATATTGTGTACAATATTCAAGAATGTACTTAAACATTGAAAAAAAAAACCACCCAGGACAATTGCTTTATAATTGTTTTCTGATGATCTTTAGAAGTGGTTCTCTTTCACAAGGAAGTTCATTTAATTACTTCTGCATCTAAGCTGTCTCCCTCAGTAACTGCGGTGGGCCCACGGAGGAGCAGGACCTGCCACTGTGCAGACAGTACTACGGTTTTGCCAATAGAACAACCAACAGGAAGTACACGAGGCAATACAGGTGTGTGCTTCTTCTTCTTCTTCTTTTTTTTTTTTGTTTTTGTTTTTCAAGACAGGGTTTCTCTGTGCAGCTTTGCGCCTATCCTGGATCTCGCTCTGTAGACCAGGCTGGACTCGAACTCACAAAGGTCCGCCTGCCTCTGCCTCCCCAGTGCTGGGATTAAAGGCGTGTGCTGCGCCGCTGCCACCCGGTGATGTGTGCTTTTAATTGATGCAAATACTGTAATTTGGGGGCAATATGCATCTCCCAGAGTTTTTTTTTTTTTTTTTTTTTTAACCTCAAAGAGAAAGTGCTTCCTACTTCCTCCCATTCTGCTTCTCTCCATCTGTCATGGAAACAGTCTTGGTGAGTGTGGTTGTTGGTCTTACCTACCGATTAGATTGCGAAGAACCCAGAGGATTAGTAAAGCACAGGAATTCCTTTTTTTTTTTTTAAATAAAACTACCTTTCCCCCCCTAATTAACTCACAAATAAAAACATCACACCACTAGTTAAGGAACCCACTCTAGCACTGCCCAGCCCCAATTCTATGCAGTTAGAATGGCCGTCCTGGCCCAGGGGAGGTTCACTAGGGTCTACACCTGTACTAGCAATTACATGAAAGAAAAATGATTTTTAAAATTATGTGTGTGTTCATGTGTATGTGTGTCTGTGCATATATAAGTGAAGGTACTGAAAGTGTACTGAATTCCCTGGAGTTGGAGCTCCAGGTGACTGTGAATTAACCAGTGTGGGTGCTGGGAACTGAACTCTGGTCCCCTGTAAGAAAGCAGTGTGTGCTTTTAACTGTTGAACAATCTATCCATGTCTTCAACTGTGTTTTTTTTTTTTTTTTCATTTATCCATCATGATAAAGAAAAAAACTCTGAGAAAGTTAAAACTAGAAGAAAAGCATTAGTTTTAGGTTTATATTCTTTTTTTCATGACTCACATCTCTATTTGCCCACCTCTGGCCCTGCTTCTTACCTTACTGTGGTGGTTTGAATGTCATTGGCCCCCATAATCTCATAGGGAATGGCACTATTAAGAGGTGTGGCTTTGTTGGAGTGGGTGTGGCCTTCTTGGAGGAAGTATGCCACTGCGAGGGTGGGCTTTGAGGTTTCCTATGCTTAGGATACTGCCCAGTCAACTTCCTGTTGCTTGCAAGATGTAGGACTACTCTAGTACCACGTCTACCAGCATGCCACCATGCTCCACATCATGATGATAATGGACTAAACTCTGAAAATGTAAGTGAGACACCCAATTAAATGTTTCCTTTATAAGAGTTGCCATGATCTTGGTGTCTTTTGACAGAAATAGAAATCCTAACTAAGACACTAATAGTACCTTTTCTTGTTCTCCGTTTATATTTCAAACTATACCTTGAGTTATACCTGTTTATGTAGGTACATGTTGTTTTATTTATTTATTTTTTTTTTTGGTCAACTTGACACAAACTAAACTCATTTGAAAAGAAGGAACCTTAACTGAGAAAACACCCCATCAGATTAGCCTATAGGCAAGCCTATAGGGTATTTTCTTGGTTAATGATTGAAGGGCCCAGTCCAATTTACATGGTACTATCCCCTGGTCAGGTGGTCCTGGGTTGTGTAAGAAAGCACGTAGCTAGAGAAAGCCTAACAGTGTTCTTCCATGGTTGAAGTCTTTGCTTCCTGCTTTGAGTTCCTGCTCTAG